AAGCACAGTTTATGGTTTCTTCGTGGTGATCTGTGGTGTTGCTCTCTGTCCCGTTCTTCCATATGTGTATATGCCAGTAGTCCAGTCAGTGCTGCTGCTTTCTTGAGCTGTTGGTTAATTTGCCCCCTCCCATTTTTCCTTTCTGTGCTAGGAGAAAAGGAGATAGTCTCGATGTTGATCTGAGGGGTCTGCATCATTTCTTGTGAAAGATTTTCAACCTGTGGAAGGTGGTGGCAAAGAATCATATAGAGTGCAAGACCTACTTCTTCATAGACAATATCTGCTTAAAACCGAGTTGACCAGATCTTTTTTTAGCTCCAGCATTTGAAGGCGGGGGGAACCCACAATTTGCTGGGTGTTTTCTGAAGTAAACTTGGGTCCCCTCAGAACACTTCAGGCTATCTTTAAATTATTCTTCCATTTTTTAGGAAGGAACCACTTAGACTAGGATTTTCCTGTAGATTTCAGGACTTTTTCCTACAGTTTTTTAATGAAATGTGAAGTTATATGTCCTTTCAGTTGAAAGGAAAAAGAAAATTAACATTTTGATCAGCTTTTCACAGTTCATTTGCTGTAGAATCAGGAAGGGGAAATGACTGAAGCTGATGTTGATTGTGTTGCTTGGCAGAATGTAAAGTACTGATTCTCTACTCTGTGACAATACCTCAATTTTCTAAAGACTTCAGGGTCTTTGTGATCTAATAAAAGCTTAGATTATGTTAAAATTCTGGCGTTAGTAGACCTTGACAGGGTGTAGATGATGAGACTGAAGAGCTTGGAACTAGGTGTAGGTTAGATGCTTCTAAACTATGAGTATGGGAAAGAAGTATAATTAGGAGTCATGCTGTGAGTGAAAACTGGAGAACCATATTTAAGGGAAGACAAGGGAGTGCTTGCCAGTGTGACACCCATCTACAAGAAGGACCAGAAAGAAGATCTGGGGAACTACAGGCCTGTCAGCCTGACCTCGGTGCTGGGGAAGATTATGGAGCAGATCATCTTGAGTATGTTCAACAGGCATGTGCAGGTCAACCAGGGGATCAGGCCCAGCCAGCATGGGTTCATGAAAGGCAGGTCCTGCTTGACCAACCTGACCTCATTTTATGACCTGGTGACCCGCCTAGTGGATGAGGGCAAGGCTGTGAACATCATCTACCAGGACTTCAGCCAAGCCTTTGACACTGTCTCCCACAGCATTCTCCTAAGGCAGCTCATGCCTTGGATGGGCATACTCTTCGCTGGGTAGAAAACTGGCTGGGTGGCCAAGCCCAGAGAGTTGTGGTAAATGGAGTTAAGTCCAGTTGGAGACTGGTCACAAGCAGTTTTCCCCTGGGTTCAGTTTCGGGGCCAGTCTTGTTTAATATCTTTATCAATGA